CCTATACCATGTACATATACCATGTCCATATACCATGTCCTTTTACCTTATCCATAACCCATGTCCATATACCATGTCCATATACCATGTCTCTATACCATGCCCAAGATTTGTTTATTTACTGGCGTGGTGATGCTGGAATATTGCTAACTACAGTGTTCAACTTTCATTCACTCACACATGCGCTTATAAGACTGGGAGAGAGCAAGGTCGGTGCTTCAATCCCCTGGTGGGACGGTAAAGGATGGTGCTTGTTGTTACCTTGCCTGGCACTCGGCATTAAGTCTAGACTAGTACAAGCAGCCAATGTCTCAATTAGATCTTCTTCCTCATAGGTCAACTCTTTTCTCCTCGTTTCCACTTTTCACACAAACCCACCCCATGTGGGCGTCCACCCAGCTCATGGTCTCCATTTCACTGACTACTGCACTTGCACAAGTCTCTTAGAATATTGTTATTAGTTCCAATTGTAATTCCTTAAATACATCAATAACAAGAGCACATTGTCCCCCTGAAAGACTGGCCTTGTTGTAGACAAGTCCATTATAATCCATTATAATGTACTTATCATTCAGTAGAGACTTGGAGCAAGTCTAACCGATCACCTGCCTTTCCGTAACCGGAAGCAGCAAGCACCAATCGCAGGCGATATCACAAACGGCCTCTATGAGCTGGTCACATGCACATTTCTTGTGCCCAGCATCACCAACATGCTGGTTCTGTCTGGTCAAATCTCCATCGCTGGTCAGGGACAGCTGTAAGTTCCTTCGTATATTTTACTTAACAGTTTGTATTTCTTGCATGTAGCTGCCATTCTGTCCAGTAGGGAGGAAGCATGATGGAAATCATGTCACATGCCTTGGCCTTTCGCAGGCCTCCAAGACATTGTCTCCTGTATTTGCCGCCCTCTGGTGCGTGTTCCAATTGTTTTTGTGGCGCGGAAGCAGGCCCTGTGCTTCCTGTATTCTTGTATGTATTATAAGTGCGGACCTTCACACACTGACCATGCCCAAACAGTGTAAACAAACCTAAGTATTCAACTACCGTATTTCTGACAAAAACAATTCCTTTATTATGAGTATTCATTCATTATGCTCCATTTATTGACCAAGTTCTTTGTCTTTATTCCATTGCTGCTGTACAGGCCTGCTGACCCGATGTCACCCAACCACGGCCCTCTCCCCCCTGGCTCCCACTCCCAAGGAAACAGTTCATTGTCTCATCTTTTTTATCTTTAAAATCTCTTCTTTTTTCTAAACAAGTAACCTTAAAGTTAATAACGTTGTCCGCACTAGTCATTCGTGTTTGCAGTTGATTGTATCCATGGTGTCAGTACTGTAATTTTTCTAGTATCCTGAACGAGGAAAACTCCCATATTAACACCTTATTTATAAATTTCCATTAAATTCAATTTGTATAGTTTCTTTCTATCTTATCAGGGCGTTAAGATTTGCATAGTAATTATGGTTTATCTTTCTTCCTTTGGCTGTCAATTAGTTGTGTTCATTGTGTTGGACATTGTTGCAGACCCAGACCAACATGGCTGTGCAGCCACTGACATCACCTCTCCACACAGCCTCCTGACAAAGCCTCCTGACAGCCTCCTGACACAGCCTCCTGACACAGCCTCCTGACACAGCCTCCTGACAGCACCTTGATATTTACTTCAAGATGGAAGACTGTGTAAGGTAGGTGATTTTATACCAATGGTAGCAGCTGTATTCGCCATATTAAGCACCCTGCTCTAGTAATACATTCGCATGGTAAGGTACTGTTTTGTTTGTTTGTTTATTTTACATCAATATATTACTGTTATCAAACAAAGTTTGGTGTCACCAATGTTGGAACCAAGTTTCTACAACAAATTTAACTTGTGCCTGATTTTTGTACCCACATTGTCAATTTTCCATGCCCCTGGGTCACTTATTATGGCGAATATGGTGCTAACATATTGCCTCTGAAATGAAAGTTGGTTTACATTTTGTTTGAATTCTTCTTTTTCAGGAAAATTCTATATTTGGCAAAGCATTATACACTTGCTTGGGAGCTCTTGGATATATTTATTTCAGTACATAGTCTTATGAGACACTAGCCCTCTTGTACCTATCCAAGTATGTCATAGTGGGTATATGTGTATATGGAAATGCCAATATACCATGTATACCAATGTTAAAACTGCTATATCAAACCATTGCTGTTGGGGCTAGCATAGCCTTGCTTCAAGTCTGTACTGAATAAGTCCATGGATGTGTAGTAATTCTAACCTTTGAATAGGCAAGTCTATGGGGACAGTACTCTCAGGATGTCAGTTGTTTATGGGGACACCTTGTTTTTATTATTATATAATCTGGGAATTATGGTTGAAACTAATAATAATTGCCTTAGAGGCTTGTGTAGGTCTAGGGTTAGCAGTCTAAATATTGTTGATAAAACTGGACAACATGTCCGTATACCCATGTGTATATTTCTATGTAATATGTTTACACTGTTTCTTTCTTGCTGATTGGCTGAAGGGGTAGTCATGTGATCTGATATTTGGAGTTCACACACCTGTGAACGGACAAAAAAGTTCACACGATGTGAAATTGATCATGGGAACTTTTGCCGGAACTACTTTCCGGGGTTTCCCCATATTCTCGATCGGTGTTTACGATCAACTCGTTTTTCTATTTTCTTTTTAATACCTGCATTTATCAGCAATATTTGCAAGAACTTCAATGGGATGTTTCTTTGTATACACAGCTTGTATACCTGTCACAGCAGATGTAGAGGGCGATTGGTGGCTGGTTAAAACATGAATTTATCTGGGTAATGCGCATGTATCGTTGTTGATTGTCCTCGAGCCAAGCTTGTTGTTAATGGCCTCTATACGCTGAGACAACCCTTCATTGTTGTCAAGTAATAAAGATAATAGAGGATGTTAGCCGACTTATCCTTGATGACTTTCACAGACTTACTTTGACAGAATTGAAATATGTGGCAATCGGACATAAGTTGTGGAATTGATGTGATCGGTAGATGAGATGGAAATAATATCTGGTGGATTATCATGATGCTTTGCCAGCAGCTGGAGCACTGGAGTACTCTTTAACCACATGTGTCGCCAGGCTCCGTACCCACAGTTTCAGACCAACATTTAATCTCTGAAATAGAAATGGTTGAAGATTTTTGTGTTTTCTTTTAATAGATAATGGAAAGGAGCCCAGAGAATCTCTTCATTTTCTTAAACATGTTAAAGTGAGACATTCTAGACTTAATTTTAAGTATTGTTGATTTGGTGGTTTCGGGATAACTTTGTTTCATGGCCAATGCAAGAGACTACCAGTATTTGCTTGGCTAAATTTCTAACCCACCTGACCCTTGGTTTTATTTGTTTTATGTTGCAGCTTATATTCAATCATCATTTTACAAAGTCTAGGATCCTTCATAAAATATTACCCTGTGAAGTCCGAGGTTAGAATAGGCTTTCAGCAACACATGCTTCCCTTTTGCTTAAAAGGCAACTATGCTTATTGTAAAAATTAGAGGCGACTAACAGGATTGTGTGGTCTGAGCTCGCTGACTTGGTTAATGCATGTCATCGAATCCCAAATGTGTAGATCGATGCTTATGTCAATCACTGGATTGTGTGGTCCAAACTTGATAATTTACAGACCACCGTCATATAGCTGGAATATTGCTGAGTGCGGCGTTAAAAAGTAAACAGACAAACAAATCATAAACATATTCTAAGAGAGAAAATTCTCCTTTGAGTTAAGTAATTGAGGATGCTGGTGAAAGGCAGTTTTATGTACGGTGGATGAAAAATAATTTGATGTCCGTCCTTATAAAAACATTTCCGTTTCACACTTACTTATGTTTAAAAATAGATGACTAAAGGAAGTTGTTTTGATAAGAATCCCAGACAGCCAAATAAAATAGTCAAAGCCTAAGATGTTACATAGTAAACAGTGGTCTAATTAAGGGGAGTCCTTCAGGTGTTCTTCTATGGTATTTGACCCACTAAATCTTAACAAGTAATATCAGGGTCCTGACAAGGACCCATTGACTCAGGCTTGACACTGAATACTGGTAAATGTGAGGGGGGGTTATGTGTGAGTGTGAGGGAAGTGGGATTGTTTCTGTGTGTGTTGTGAGGGAGGGGGAGGTGACTGTCATGAAACTCATGCTGGGGGCTTCTTTTGTGGGAGGAGTGTGTGTGTGTGTGTGTGTGTGTGTGTGTGTGTGTGTGTGTGTGTGTGTGTGTGTGTGTGTGTGTGTGTGTGTGTGTGTGTGTGTGTGTGTGTGTGTGTGTGTTGTGGGGGAGGTGACTGTCATGAAACTCATGCTGGGGGCTTCTTTTGTGGGAGGAGTGTGTGTGTGTGTGTGTGTGTGTGTGTGTGTTGTGAGGGAGGGGGAGGTGACTGTCATGAAACTCATGCTGGGGGCTTCTTTTGTGGGAGGAGTGTGTGTGTGTGTGTGTGTGTGTGTGTGTTGTGGGGGAGGTGACTGTCATGAAACTCATGCTGGGGGCTTCTTTTGTGGGAGGAGGGTGTGTGTGTGTGTGTGTGTTGTGAGGGAGGGGGAGGTGACTGTCATGAAACTCATGCTGGGGGCTTCCTTTGTGGGAGGAGGGTGTGTGTGTGTGTGTGGGGGGGGGGGGTGGCGTGTGATAGCATGGACTTGTATATAGGTCTGTGATGATAGTTGTGAAACTGATGGGGGGAGGGGGGATGTCGATAGTTGTGAAACTGATGGGGGAGGGGGGGTTGAAAGTTGTGAAACTGATGCTGGACTGAGTGCCAAGTGCAACATTTGTAGGACTTCCTTCGGGAGGGGTGGGGTGGGGGGGTGATAGACTTGAAACTGATGCTGGACTGAGTTCCAAGTGCTACATGTGTAAGACTTCCTGAAGCACTCATTGGTTCTTACTGATTGGGTCATCTGTGAGGTCAGATGCAGGTCAGTCTCAATGACCAGTCCCTACATCCCGACATCCAGGCTAGCTGTCACCCTGTTCCTGACACAACTGTGGACCTACAGGAACAGTCATACTGTAAACATAACCTGGCACAATGTGGACTAAAGTGAAAGATTTTGGAAAATATTTGCTCAAGATGGTGAGTTTGATGAACTATCAGTCGATTTCACAACAATCTGTTAAAACTAGACTCTGATTAATCTGGATTTATGTCAATTCTGGACCACATTTATGGCCCAAATTTACTAACCCTAAGATAAATGATTGATTTATTTATTTATTTATTTATTTATTTATTTATTTATTTATTTATTTATTTATTTATTTTTTATTTTTTTATTTTTTTATTTATCTATCTCATGAGGCCTCTGTCTACATAGGAATAAACTATCACAAAACATGCATGAGTCCTGTTTAGACTGATTCCACTGTAGAATGTCAGATGGGTTTACAGGACTTTACTGTAGTTGAGGGTTTGACACTGATTGATGATGGTTGTGTGGGGCTCCAATTGTTGTAACGTCCTCATTACCCCTGATTTGTGATGGTACAAGTATTCTGAAATCCATATACCTAAAGACAGACCAAGATAGATTATATCGCAATAATGTTGCCAAGGCGATTAATCAAAATTTGAAACACCTGTATCTGGATGAGATCGGGGAAATAAATATTACCATCAGTGTTGGCTGCAGCTGCCTCCCCAGTACCATGTGGTGGTAATTCTTCAGCGCATAGCGTAAATAATCTTGTATGTCTTCCTTCATATCTGTCATCTGTAAACAATGGTTCAGCGTTGAAAACATTACAGCACAATAAAACCTTATAAAGTAAACACAAAACTAACAATGTCCTCTTCATCATTTTTGGCAGATTAGTGCAGATGAGCAACATTCTCTAATTCTGAAGGGCGGTCGGTAGTCTAGTGGTTAAAGCGTTCGCCGTCATGCAGATGACCCGGGTTCGATTCCCGACATGGGTACAATGTGTGAAGCCCATTTCTGGTGTCCCCCGCGTGATATTGCTGGAATATTGCTAAAAGCGGAACAAAACGATACTCACTCACTCACTCACTCTAATTCTGATTCTAGCAAAGCTTATCACATAGCCGAAATAGTAAACTTTGTGTCTCGGAAATAGACACAATATTGTTATCTAAACCAGGGTCTACCAAGTATTATTCAGGCCAGTGTAAAATATATCTGAGATGTGGGGACTGGTCGCCCAGTAAGCTGCAATTTGCTGTATGTCAGGGGCATCACGTAGGTGTGCCAGAGTTCTAATTATCCGGGTTTGAATCTCAGAAATAAACCCTGATTATGGTTCATGGTTTGTCATCAAAATACCCCATCGCCTGGTGTTTCATCAAGCAGGGTTAGAAACAACAGCTTTTGTCCACTAGTCCTTATAATGATAACATATAGCAAAACCCTTAAAATGGGCCAATTTCTACTAGTCCTTAGGATACCTTTACTATTGGGCAGTTTGGTAAGGACTACAGGACTAGTGCCAATTTCTATCGGTGATCAAGGTAGTAAATACCAAAGACCTCTGTTTCCTCCCACACCGTGTCGTGATGGAACGTACATACTGTTCAAAGCCATCTTCCCGAGGCAGGGTGTTGACTGACTATAAAAGTCCAATTTCCACCTTTGCCGAACTAGGTTGCAGTTTCGTGGCTCGATTGTAGCGCCACCAGTGGCTATTACAAGTTATGTCACTTCTATATCCCTCCTTTTGACAAATCACATTCCACCTATCATATTACTTGCATTTGCTTGAAACAAAATGGCGGCACCCAGTCAGAATGATCTGATCGATAATCCAGATCTAGATCGTAATAAAACAAGTCTTTAACCTCCCAAAGTGCATCCAATTATTTGAGCACCTTGATTAAAAACATGAAAAGGTTTGGAAAATATCTGTCAACTCCGAGTTGACGGTACACATGCTTTGCAAATCCTGCAATGGACCTAAATCACACGGAAGTTTACGAACCGGGTGTTGATTTCGTTACGAGATTTTGATTCGACTATGCATAGACTCGTTAGTCGAGCCAAGATATTACTAGCAAATTGCAGCCAATTTCGGCAAGAGTGGAAACTGGACTTTTGTTATCAGTTAACTCCCTTGCCTCGGGAAGATGGTTCAAAGCAGGGTTGAACCCAAGTCACTGACTGTATATAATATTTTAGCCATGGTATAACCTGTCGTATATCCCCTTTGACTGCCATCCATCTCCCGCATCCCCTGTGTGCTCTGTGTGACCTTCTGTCAGTGCAGTTAGCAGTCAGGGGCAGAGACCACCATGTGAAGCTGCTGGGATTGAGGGATGTGTCTGGAGTAACCATGGATGTTGTCATTATATAACCACACTGAACTCATGAAAGAGAGAACCTTTTAATTATCCAGGTTGTGTGGTTATTTTCTAGATTAAGGATGACATCGAGCTGTCCTTAGCCTTATTCCTACTTTTAGAGATTTATTAGGAGTGTGAGATGTGGGGTCAGAAGCCACCATTTCTTATCAGTTCTTGGGGCCTTGGATTGTTTTGTTTTTTTCAAAATAATTTGTTCCAGAAGATACTTGAAGAAAGTAATTTTGCTTCAGATTACAAAAAATAATTGCTAGGTCTCCTGAAAAGAAACTGGTTCAAAATATATTTGTTTTGCTTCAGACTTCACTGAGTGCTGTGAAGTGGCAATTAATTTATTTGACACTGGCAGCAGGCCAGCCCATGTTTCAACTTTGATACATGTACGGAACCAGGGTGCCACCTGGTTTTGTCTGGTGCAGCTGAGTTTTAATGTCAAGTGAAATCAAGTTCCTTAAATGGAGCCCTGGATTATAATAAACAGTGACAGTATACTATGCACACATGTATATATGATAATAGCCCAATAAGCAATTCTGACATGGGAGTGGTGTATTATGTCACATCATTATGTGGGCTATATCGGGAGGAAGGGGTAGGTGTAATACAAGTGCACAGTGGGGTCAGTCCTATACAAAAATAGCTGTCACCCACACAGTGTGTGTGTCAAGGTGCAAGGCATCAGTGTAGGGAGTGTAGGATACAAGGGAAACGCTGTCTCCCATTCCCATCTCAACATCTTCATCCTGGCTGGTGTCACACATTGTAAGCTCCTCACAGTGTCTGCTGTGGGGGGATGTAGATACAGGTGATATCATCTCCTCTCTACCTCCGACATGAGTGTAGATTTATGTGTACAGAGACATATCATGATGGCAGCTCAGGAGGTATTGTCAGGGGACATTAATTCACTTCAGGGCACATTAATTCACTTGAGGGCTCAAAACATTTCTCAAACCCAACTTGTCCTGCAGGGCAAGAAGATAATATTTTGTACTTGTCCAGCAATATTTTCACTTGCCCTGTTAAATTTCATAAGGGGCGGTCAGGTAGCCTAGTGGTTAAAGCGTTCGCTCGCCATGCCGAAGACCCGGGTTCGATTCCCAACATGGGTACAATGTGTGAAGCCCATTTCTGGTGTCCCCTGCTGTGATATTGCTCGAATATTGCTTAAAGAGGAGTAAAACCATACTCACTCACTCAATTTCATCAAGTCTTATGTTCTCAGTTTTTATTTACGGAAGACAGTGCAAAATCTGCCATCTACGTTCATCTCCGCCAATTCAAACTCGCTCAACCCTGCGTCTTGCAGGTTTTTTTTGGTTTTTTAATTATCATACTGTTTTTGAGACATTTTCCTTTTCTTGAGCTCTTTGTTAGGGAAATCATGTTTTTTTTGTTAACCCCACCATCTCCATTTAATATCTTCCGTATGCCAGAAAATCAATCATGACAGCTGTTCACTATCGCTTTGACATTTGAGTGTCAGTAACGAGTCGCTCACAACAAAAACACTTTTTGTTAATTATCTCTTTTAACATGTTTAAAAACTAGTTTCGATACATGCTGCACAAACCACTTCCTGTTTACTTCTGTAACCTGATGATCTTCTCAAGGCAAGGACTATAAAATCATGTGTCAGTACCTAGATTAAAATTATAAAAAGATTTGCAAAATACCTGTAGATGACCTGTTGTCTAGTTTGTTATGCGATTTGGATTGGACTATGCATACACTTGTTAGCCCAGTCAAAATGTAACACCGGAATTCCAGCCTAGTTCGGCAAGGGTGGAAACTAGACTTTTAATGTCAGTAAACTTCCTTGCCTCGGGGATGTGTTCTGTAATAGACAGTTGCCAAGTAAATCGTCTATTTATGATATTAGCAACATGTATGAGGTTGTTATTACTTAGATCGTGCAAGGGATGAAAACATATTTTAGGTTCGACATTATCTTGCATATTGTATTGAAGCGATTAGACATAATTGAAATATATGTACTCGCCCCGGTAGGATGAGCGTTTCTTCAATTCTTTCTCGCCCTGCACATGTTGCCACTACGAGTGTGGATTTTTCGAACCTTGCACTTTCAACATTCTGGAGTCACTGTCAGATCCATGAATGGACACAACGCAGCAGTAGTAGGATGATACATGGATGCATCGGTGGATCATGATTTGTTATAAGTATGATCACACACAAAGCAAAAAATATTAGTTCTTACTTTACCTACATAGTCTACATCCCTCATCAGTCACTCCATCTGTCACACTTTCATTAGTTTTTGTCACTTTTAATTTTTTCTTTATTATTACCATAACCATGCTGGGTTTGATTCTCCACATGGATACAATGAAACCCTGATCTTGTGTTCCCTGCAGTGCTGAATAATTGATTGAATATTACTCACCCAGTGTCTCCATGGTTCACACTTAGGTTTTGGTGGTGGTGTAGCTGAGTGGTGAAAGTGTTTGCTAATATCCCACCGAATACCTGAGTTTGATTCCCCTAATCTGTATAAAGCCCACTTCTTGTGTCCCATGCCATGATATAACAGGAATATTGCTTAAATTGGCAGAAAGCCATGTGTGACTCACTCACTCACTCACGAAGATCAGGGGTAGAATAGGCCTTCAGCTGTAAAGGGCGTCGTAAGAGGCGACTTACAGGATCGGATGATCAGGCTTGCTGTCTTGGTTGATGCATGTCGTTGTATCCCACTTGTGTGGATTGATGTTCATGATGTCAATCACTGTATTGTCTGG